TTGGGGCCGGGCGGGGACCCCCTGCCTGACGGCACAGCTCATGGCGAGGGCGCGCGATCCGACTCGGAGCTGCACAGAGCGCTGCGCGATCCGACTGCCACCGCGCTGTCCCCGCAGTCCTCTATTTATACCGTTCCTCCTGGATGTTGCCACCGGAGAAGGGCTGTTTATTCTTCCTCCTTGTGACCTGGCTAGTACTTTTTTTTTTTTTTCAGCCGGAAATATTTCCCCAAAGGCGTTTGTCTCCAGAAATCCCACAACAGAAAGATGCTTTGGTTAACAGAAGCGTGTTTCAAAACTACATCAAAAATGTTACTTCCTGAATCATCAGGTCTGACTTGTGATGACAACTAAACAACAGTGACACAAAAAACGACGATACCCGAGAGCGCCCGGGGAATTAAACATCAGAGCAATTATCCATCCCTGACGTGGGCGAGTCTACCCGGAAAGTGAAAGCTGTGGGAAAGCCGTCCCCTGTCTGACGGAGCCTGTTCGGCCCCTTCGGGGGTGCCCCTCTCTCGGCTGCCCCGCGGTCCCCGGGACCGGAGCCAGGAGAGCCCCCTGGGCCGTGCCGCCTCTCCGCCCGCGCACCGCGGCGAGGGGCCGGGCCGTTCCACGCGGCCGTCGGATGAGTGAGAACCTGCCGGGGTCGGGGTTGCTCGACCTCGGAATTCTCTTGTCTTGGAGTGCCCAGAAAAACGTGGCACTCGAGCTACCAGGGAGTGTTTGTTACTTCCCTTGCCCCTGCGTGCATCAAAACATCCCCTTTCGAAGGAGATATTTTGCTTTCAAGGGTAGAAAAAACATTCAAATATTTATCCAAAATAAGAAGAAAGAATATTTCCTGAGAACCAAATGTTGCAGTTAACTAGGGATATTCACTGCCAAGAGGGAGCAGCTACATAAGATGTTTCATGAGATTTCTAAAACAGTAACACGGAGAGTTTCAGAAGCAGCCTCATCCTGTCTAGTTCTGACCCAGTTCCAACCAGCACCATGGAAATTTTCCAGCTATAATGTAGGGGAAATGTATTAAATTTAGAAAAGATGCTAGAACAGATCATTTAATAAAAGATATTAAGCCTATTTTTCAGTCTTGGAGCGCTGAATTGAGGAAGAAGGGAAATAATTAAAATGTTTTGTCATCTGAATCTTTCATTTTATTAATAATATTAATACAGCCATGCTAATATTGGCTGACTTTCACCCTGTGTTGTTCAGCATTGGTTTTGGCATCCAGGTCACCTGGACACATCACATACAGGACGCGTCAGGTGCAGCCTGTCTCAGAAATATTGCTTATGCCATTTGGGCACCTTCATTAGTCTTGATTTTATCTTGACGCTGCAAATCCAGAACCCCTTAAATGTGGTGTGGGTTCTGTGTATGTCCATCCTTTGGTACATCCGTAATTAGGAAGCGAAGCCTGTGCCATGGTGCCATGGCGCGATGCCTCATGGCTGGCGAGATCCTCGGTGGAGGCTGCAGCACGGTCAGGATCAGGCTCCCCCGTCGTGGAGCCCAGCAGCTGCTCTCGCTGCTGGAGCGGGAGTGAAACAGGAGAAGAACTGGTCAGAATCTGTCTTTTTTTTCCATAGCAGAACCGTAAAAATACTGTGACGCTAACATTTCATTGAATTTAATTGATAAATGTATGGTACTTCATTTTTCAATAAGAAAAAATAAAATGTTAGTGAGTGGAGTTTTTTACAATTATTGAAAACTAAGCAGAGGTGTCCACGTTTCTCCCTCACCTTTCGAACTTCAGACCTTGCCAAAGGTGACTGGAATTTATACAGCTTTTGTAAAGGAGAATAATAATCTGCTCTTGACTTTACTGGATCTGTGTTCTTCATGGTAGCTTTTTTCCTTTCCAAAATTTGATATTTGTATTAAAACCAGCTCTTGTTTTCACACCACAGCATACGTCAAGACCTGCCAGCAGTTTCAGTCCTCATTTTATTAAAAGAGATTTTCATTTTTTGATGAGGAGATGTGCTAATGACAGTATCTACATGCATAATGGGCGGCTCTTGGCAGAATTATCTCTCATTGACTTCCAGACTGGAGTCTACAGACAGAGCTTTGCTCACCGCAGCCGTGCAGCCCGCCACGGGCGATGCCTCTGCCGCGCCGTCCCGGGCTGTCCTGGGACCCCTCGCGGGCAGCGCTGCGCCCGGGGCGAGCGGAGGAGAGGAACGACGGCTCACGAGGGTTTCCCGTGGGCGCTTCGGGAACAGCAGTGCAGGGCTGACAAGGAAAGATTATTACTTCAAGTAACAAATGAGCAGAAAAGCCTCCCCGAGGCAAAGCTGCTGTTCCCATTTAATGAGCTTGGTGAAAAATAGACAGGAATCGTATTTCGGCTTTACGGTTGCGTCTCGCACTGTGCCTCATAGGGGGCAGCGGGATGGTGGCAGAGGATGGGCACCGCGGTGTTATTCCCGAGGGTTGTTCTGCTGCACAAACTGATCGGGTTCCGAAGAGCGAGGAAAAGGAGAAAAAAGATTAGATTTCCCCGGAGGAAACTCCTTTGGTAGTCGCGGGATGTTTTTAGGCTTAAGACTGGGTAAGCTAATGTGAGCTGATGCACAGAAAGTGCAATATGCCCCCGAGAAGCAGATGCAGCATTTTGTGTTGTTGCAGACATTCCCTGAGTCACTGCCTGTTTCCAAGTTCAAGAGAACTTCCCTGGAGCCTCGGTGACTCAGACACAGCACCCAACCCCGAGTTCTGCTGCCCTCACCCTGCCTGACCGCCAGCCCAAGCTCAGCTCCGGGCTCAGAGCAACACCTGGCAGTGCCAGGGTGAGCGGCTGAGAGCCAGGCACTGCCTGGCACTCGGAGCACGCCGGCTCCGAGGGCTGGACAGCCTCATCAGGAGGCCCCGATGCAGCAGTGAGAGCTGCAGGCAGCCCTACCTCCTGGCTGCTCATTGTCTGCTAAATCTCAGTGTTTCACCTGTGGAAAAGTCTGGTGTTTGCCATTTGCAAAGTATTTTCTTATCGAGCTGGTGAGGTAATTGTCGTTCCACTTCTTTTCTGCGTGTTTCTGGCTGTACCGAAACTGGTCTGCGTCTCGCTGATGGCACTAGATGCTCCAGGGTTCTGATCCCAGCTTTGCAAATCACTCAGGCAAATCACTCGGCTTCTCCGAGTCTCAATTCCGTGCTTTGTAGGGTGGAAACAATAATAACAGCAATCCTTCTTCTCGGGGCATTGCAGAAACGACCGTCTGATGTGAACATGGAGTTTCAAAGACGGGAAGCATGATGCTCATTTTAGGCGTCACTTATTTTAGGTGTTCCTGCTATTATATATGAAGTTTGACACCGGCACATCCTACATATTTGTCTCTGTGTCTCAGCTGATGAAATACCTTTCAAGGACATTATTGGTTTCCTGTTTTGTTTTGTTGTCCACTAAAGTTTCACCATTATTCACTGAGGACTTGCTGCTACAACTCCTTGCTGAATCCTAACGAGGCTTTTCTTGTGCTGACATCTTGCAGAAAATCTGAAAAATGCTCTCCAAAGCCAGTGTTTGTCCATCTCTTGGATGTGATAATTCATCCATGTTTCACAAATGCAAACTGTGTAGCGCAGAGTAGTAATTAAAAAAAAAAATTGCCTGACACTTAGGTGGTATTTTGCACCGTGATTACTTACGCTGAGCCTCGACTCCTCCCTGGGCTGTGATAACAGGGTTACGCGGAGCCGTATGCAGAATTTAAGCCTTTTCATTGATGCAAATGAAAAGTGGAGTGAGGAAAACTCCTGATAAGATCCTCCGAGTGGAACTGAATCAACTGATGACAAACCCGGGCTGTCCATCAGCTCCCCCAGCTGTTCTCCCGGCATTTCCCAGGTGTTCGTTTCATTCCTGCCAACAGATGTAAATGGGTATCTCAGCACAGGGTGACAGATGTCAAAGATAACTCGATTAGCTGCGTGATAAATCTCTCCCTTGTGTCCTTTTGGCTGCAGAAGTGGCCATGCCAAGTGCTGCTGGCAGAGCCAGACACGCTTGGACTGACATCTTCTTTTAGCGTCCCACTTGTATTTAATCCATAATGTTTGGGGCATTCTGCAGATGGCTTGAGAGTAAAAAAGCTGCATTTGCAACTGAAATACAGCGACTCTCTTGTGATGGCCAAAAGAACAGCACGTTTGCAGTGTCATCGGGGTTTCCAGCCTGCACCCCTGCCCATTGCCGTGCAGTGTCAGACAGCCTGACACTAAAGTGCACGTTTGCTCAATCCAGTTTTTAATTTTGAGATGGCTCTAACTCACTTGGGTTAGAAGACTTCCTATTCCTGCAAGGAAGGTCTGTTATTCCAGCAAAGAGAAAATCTTGATGCAGCCAATGAACTCTGCACTCCGGTCTGCGTTTCGTTTCCTGCCCTTTTGTCTAACCGCGAAACAATTCGGAACGATAACATGTCTTCACACTCCCTTTTCTGGAAAGACCTGGCAGGTTCCCCACTTCTTCGATCACCTTCCCTCCCCTTTGCTTGTCTTGTCATGCCCAGCATGACATCATCGACTCTTTTCAGGAGTCTGTTCAGGCCGGGAGCATGCCTTTGGAATTGTTCAATAAGGATCATAACACTTCTGTGGAGGCTGAAGGAGAATGAATCACCAATAATAATCCAAGCAAGAAAGGTGCTCAACTTCAGCGGCAGAAGCCCCTTGTACCCCATCGTGAGCAGAGGGAAGCTGACTTACTGCAGACCTTTCCC